ATGAGAGAGAGAGAGAGAGAGAGAGAGAGAGAGAGAGAGAGAGAGAGAGAGGGAGAGAGAGAGAGAGATGGAGGGAGGGACGGAGGGAGGGACGGAGGGAGGGAGACTGACCGACCCTTGGCATAGAGTAAGAGGGAAACAGAATTTCAGACCGTACTAAGCATTTACTGGCTCAGGTGAGAAAGCTCTGAGTGACTGGAATGTCACAGCCCTTGGCTGAAACTGTCCCAGTGACTGTAGCTGTAATAACCAGGAGGAGATTGGTTTTGTCACACCTGCTCCGAAGTAATCAAGTTAATGTCATCAGCTCCCCGCAGAGACTGTATGAGTCAGATCATATTTCATGGTTGAGGGTGTCTTCTCACTTTCATGGTCACCTGTTGTGTCGACTCTTTTAAGAACGCTTCTAATGGCTGCTGCCCCAGTACCCTCAATGTTTAGCATCATTCTTTCATGGATTTCCCTTTTCTTCTCTTGCCTTTTCCCCCTGGGACTCTGAGCCTCTGCTGGTTCTGTCTGTCCTCTTCCAGGACGGTGAGGAAGTAGAAGAGGGGGATTTCCCCATAACCATGGCACTAGTGTGAACTCATGAGAAGTGGGCTCAGGGGCCATCTGGGCTCTTCCATGTCCTTGCTCTGCGACCTTGGGCACATGACAGAGCGCTAAGAACTGCTGTTTACCAAGGGCACGGATATGCCACACACGTGCCGCATGCCTTGTGGGCATTGGCTCACTTATTTTGGTTAACAAGAATCCTGAAGGGGTGGGTTCTAGTCCTTCTACTTTATGGGTGAGGAATCTGACATTAGAAAGGTGACATAACTAGTTCGAGGTCCCCAGCTAGTATGAAGCAGGAACAGGATTTGAACTGGAGGCATCTGCCCCGAGGCAGAGCCCTTAAACTAGTTTATTATCTTTCTTCCCAACACAAAGACCCCTTTTCTCTTTGCCCAACTCTTCTAGAATGCAAAGACGAACTCCGGGTTGGATGCCCACAATCCCACATTGGGCTTGTCTTGTTCCGCCATCTTGAATTAAACATAGTGGAAGTGGAAAGGACTCTACTGAGTCAGGCCTTGGACTTCTCCGAATGATTTATTTGGAGTCTAAAGTGATCATCTCCAACTTGGAAAGTTAAGGTTTGCAAGTCAGCCTGCCGGGAATTTGCTGTCGTGTCCTATTCCTATGAGGGTTCTCAGGGACCACAGCAGTCAACATTTATTGAGCCCTTACTGTGGGCCCAGCCCTGTGCTAAGCTCTTCACACGCATTTTTACGTAACTTATAAAAAGTGCTTACTGTCGGAAGGATGAATACCTGCCCTGCATAAGGCCTACAGGGTCAGGTTCAGAGAAGGGTAATGAGTGACCCTGGTGGCCACATGTCCCAGCTCCGCACAGCCAGTGCCTCTTCTCCCGTCCTCCCTTAGCGTGTCCTCTGGCTTCCAAGTTGCTAAATGACGTTTAGAGATCTCCCTCTTGAAGTGTGGCCATTTTATGAGCTTCATTTGAACGAGTCAAGAAACCCCTGAGTATCACGAAACTGCCTCTGTCGTAGGCGGGGAACGTCCAGGAGATAAAGCTCCGTGCCTGCTTTGTTCCAGCCTTGACCCTCCCCGACGCCCAGCTCCTGGCCCCTCCTGCTGCGGCCCCATCTCCCTGCCTCTCCCCATCCTGCCCTTTGGAGGCTGTCAACATTGCTCACCCGAATTCCAGCACT